AAAATGTGCCCGAGATCATGGCTTTGTTATTCACCAATATTAGCAAAACCATACTGTGAAAATTGCTGGCTTTTTGCTGATCGAAATCATCCACGTTTTGGATTGCAAAGTGCATGGGTAGATGGAGTTCAGAGCTCAAAAAAGCGATTGCTAGCTAAGATAAAGAAACATGAAAACTCATTGCTCCATACTGAAGCATCTGCTGTATATCTTAGATGGAAAGAAGGGAAGACAATCAGTGACGAATCCCAAAAGCAGAACCAACGTGAAACTAATTTATGGGTGAACGTTTTGAGAAGGGTTTTGGGTGTAATTCTTTGTCTGGCCTCGTTAAGTCTTGCTCTGCGAGGACATGATGAAAAAGTAGGTGAAGGACTTACACAAGGAGGGGATTTCCTGGGTGTGGTGACACTGTTAAGCGAATTTGACACTATTACTAATGATGCCATCTCCTTACCTAAGTATGCAACTCGATACATGAACCCCAAAATCCAGAATGAACTGATTCTAACAACATCTCAGCTGCTGCGAAAGTCTTTGGTCACTGAGATAAATGAATGTCCATTTTGGTCAATTGTACTGGATACCACAAGTGACATAAACAGAGTAGATCAGCTCAGTGTCACTGCTCGGTGGGTTAAAGTACAAAACGAGAATGTTACCATTAAGGAAACTTTCCTTGGTTTTATATCTGTAACTGACGGAACAGCGGCCAGCCTCGTAGAAACAACATGCAAATATGTCGAAGATATTGGACTTGACATGGAAAAGCTCCGTGGTCAAGCTTACGACAGGCCGAGTGTCATGAGTGGTGTTCACAATGGCGTACAAAAGCTGATAAAAGATCATTCATCAAAGCCTGTGCCATTCATTCATTGTGCAGCACACAATCTAAACCTTGTTATAAATGATGCCGTAAATTCCGTTGTTGATAATGATAACTTTTTCGGAGTTATTCAATCCATTTACGTATTTTTCTCAACGTCCATAAATCGGTCAAGAGATTTACAGTTGCTCGCTGTTGATTCGTCCTTGTCTTTAAAAAAGCTGTGTGTTACCAGCTGGTCGTCTAGAGTAGATTCGGTCCGTGGAGTGCGGGACAGATTTGTTGACATTTTGAAGCGACTGACAGTCATTTCGTTGACCAGCACGGATAAAAAAGAACGTGATGAAGCAGTTGGCATCAAGAAGAACATTGCAAAAATTGACTTTATCATAAATCTAGTTCTCTGGGAGAGAATTTTGTCATGTACCAACTCCACATCAAAGGAACTGCAATCGAAAAGTGTCGACCTCAGTGCCTCTTCCAGACTTTTATCCATTAGTTTGTCAGAACTAAGGTATTTGCGAAATTCATGGGAGTCCGTTCGAATGACTGCAAATGCCCTTGCTGCATCATGGGGCATTCCCATTGAGTTTGAGAAATGACGTAAGCGTGGGGTAAAACAGTTCTTCGACGAATTGGCTTCCGATTCTAGGATCGAGGATTCAGAAAGAGCTTTTAAAATAAACGTCTTTTACAGAACCATTGTTGTTGCTGTAACACAGATAGAAGTGCGTTTTAAAGGAATGCAAATGGTCGCAGAGAAATTTGATTTTCTGTTCCCAAGAAACTTCGTCAAACTGGAGGTCGCCGAAATTAAATTACTTACTACGTGTATATGGCGAAGACTTTGGTGGTGATGACCTGGAAAGAGAGGTTCGTTCGTTTCAAGTTAAATTTCTTGACGAATTAAAAGCGGAAGATGTTACCTCGGTATCAAGCATTCTTGAAATCATTTACAAAGCCAGAATTGCTTCCTCCTTTCCACAGTTATGCAAATTGCTATTGTTATTCCTAACCATTCCTGTGACAGCAGCATCTGCAGAAAGGTCCTTTTCAAAGCTGAAGATCATTAAATCTTATCTGAGGAGTTCTATGGCACAAGAGTGCCTTGATGGGTTAACTTTGATTTCAATAGAGAACAAAGAAATAACTCAAACATTAAAAGATAAAGTCATTAATCATTTCGCTTTTGTTAATGCTAGAAGGAAGGACAGATTTTCTCGATAAACTTCGTAACTTTGTATAGGGTTTTTAGCATATTATCAATTTTCCATTTAATTGTTGTGTTTACGTGTAGGACACGCGAGTCCGAACTTTTTTGTGTAGGCCGCGTTTTCCAGTCCGAACTTCGTACTGATAGGGATTTTGATATATTGTCAATAAAATACAAATATTATTTGTGTTGAGGATTCTTTGGAGGTATAATCTCAACAATGTAATGGATTGGAGTCCATTCTGTAACCAAATATTATGCTAGTGAGGATTGCTGTTGTGTAGACATAAGTCGTAAATTCAGCCTATTTTTAGTGGAGCAAAGGGGGCCAAAAGTAGCCGATTGATGGAGGGCCCCCAGCGGTTGCGTTACGCCACTGATTTTAGAAATAATTCCAGTTGATTTAAATATTTTTTAAAAACTGAACCAATGTGATTATTCCATGTACATAACATCACTATTCCATAACATCACTATTTTCATCCTTTCTCAAGTAAATGATTCTGTTAGAGGTCCAAATAAATTTATAATTCTTGTTTCTCTTCACACCTAAACAGCTTCTAAACAGAGCTTTATTTTGTTCTGTGAGACTTTCAGCAAGATATATATTATTTTCAACATAGTAGCCAATATCCTTAGTTGTCTTCAATCGAAGCTTACCCCTTGCTCTGTAAAATTTTTCTTTTACTTCTCTCCTAACAAATTTTACTATAATCAGAGGTTCCTTTCTTTTACCTTTGTATCATTTAAGCTGAGGTAATCAGTGGCATACTGATATGTCTTCTTGCTTAACTTCAACACCAATCAGCTTACCAACATTACTAACAACAGCGTTTACATTTTCACTTTGACCTGGTCCAGGAGCAGGAATTCCACTAATCTCAATGCACTCCCCTTCGTCCATATTGTTCAAGGTCATTATTGGCTTGATCAAGGGTGGTAACTGAACGATCAAGTTGTTGCATAGACATTTTCAAGATCTTATTCTCTTCCATAATCGACTTATTTTCCTTCTCATAGGCTTTGAGCTTTAAGTACAGTTCATCGTAATTAGCATTTATGAATGTTATATGTTCCGCAACATCCTCGACTTTTCTTTTTGAGATCGACAATTGTTTGACTTAAAGGAGTGATTTTCTGCTCAAATTTTTCCTCCAGCTTCTCGTCGAGAGTCTTGATAAATTGCTCAGTGGTTAACATAGACATAATCATAAGTAAATATACAAATATAAAATAACAAAAATGCATTTATAGACTAATATTCAACAAAAAATAGTGAAATTCACAGGAGCAAATTTTGTGACCGCCATCTTGCTTCAGTGCTTCCACTTCAGTGCTAACATTGCATCTTTAAATAAGCCGTTTTCTGCCATTGGAGTTTCTGAAACTTGGTTAAACTATAAAACTTGTGATATTGTAAACACCCCTTTTCGCAATGGGTTCGGTCATGCTTCGAATTGCTCTTAAGTTACTCATAATTTTATGGTTAAAGAAGCCTGGTTTTACTACAGCAAGCTCCGTTTGTTACGTCTTTCATGGTGAGGAAGCAATTGATCCTAACCAGACGTTGGTCTATCAATCGCTATGGTGTTATCAGCAAATATACGACGCACAAGTCGGCAGGAAAGTAGATTTACAGTTATTGTTAATACTTAGTGGCGATGTTGAACTGTGCCCTGGCCCAGAATGCGGGGATTGCCTGAATATCAACCCAGAATTAGAATGTTTGATCAAACAGAGGGGTTTGAAGTGTTTTCATTTAAATGTACGGGGTCTGTGGAGCAATTTATGTCATGTTACTGAGCTTTTAACTGCACACACGGATATTGGTATTTTCACGCTCAGTGAAACACATATACAAGACGAACCCGATGAACTATACGTTATAAACGGCTATTCATTTATTAGTCTTCCACGTTCTAATGGTTTAGGAGGAGGTGTTGCGGTGTATATTTCTGAGCAAATAAACTGGACGAGGAGATATGACTTGGAATCTGAACTCGAATGTATTTGGTTAGAGATTTTCCCATACAAAACAAAAAGCTTCTTAATCTTGGCCCCCTACTATTTGTTGTTTTCTTCAACGACTTTTCCTCATGCCTTAAACATTCAAATATTACCATCTATGCTGATGACACGGTAATCTACGTCGCTGGAAAGGATCTTTTTATTATTGAAACTCGACTTTCGGCCGATATGAAATCAATTGCCGAGTGGTGTGTCCAAAACGAACTTATTCTCAACACTAACGCTGGCAAAACGGAATCGATGCTCTTCGGTACTGCTAAAAACCTGGCACAAAACACGCAAACCTTAAACGTGACCTACAGAGACCAGTTGATTAGATCTACGACAACATATATGTACCTGGGTGTTGAAATCAACCATTCACTGAATATGAACACCAACTTTGATAGTACATATAAGAAAGCTTGTGGAAGACTAAGATTATTAAGAAAGATAAGACCTTTTCTTAATGTCAAGGCGGCGAAGGCCATCTATCAAGGGATGGTCTTACCAATTTTAACCTACTGTGGCATATTAAACTTAAATTTATGCAGAACCCGTCAAGACAAACTTTTATCAATTCATCGCCGTGCTGTAGGTATAATTGCATCAAAACCTAACCACGAACTTAGGATAAAATCTCCTCATATCTGCAATCAAATTAAAGCATGTGTATTGGTTCGGAAATGTTTAGATGGAAACGTTTGTTCGAATTTTATAAACTATTTTGAAACGCACAAACATAGCACGATGACCCGAAACAACGGATACAAAGCTAAACTGCCAAAAATCCGGTTAGAATATAGCAGAGGATCGTTTTACTACATGGGAGCGAAACTTTATAACAATCTGCCCCTGGATACACGTAAAACTGAAGATTTTAACTCTTTTAATAAGCTCTTAGAAGAAAACTTTTAACATTTTTACCTTTTATAACTATATGATAATATGTATCTATACATATGTAAACTTCTAATGATTGAATTCCTGTATTTCTAGTATATTTTAAACTTATATAGTGACAGGACCCACATTGATAACAGTTCTTTATTGAACTGACGTGAACATCCTGTATAAATATTCGTTTAATAAAATAAATTCCTGACTATAATTTCATCTCAAACCATCGGACATATAAGACTGGTGGCGGAGTTGGTATCTATCTACAAGATTGTTTACAATATAAATTGCTCAAAAATTGCACCATTTCCAATCCTGAGGCAATTGAATCTCTGTTTATCGAAGTTTCTAATCCTCTTGGGAAAAATATTATTGTAGGCACAGTTTACCGGCCTCCTAATCAAAACCTTCCGGTTTTCATGGATGAATTCAATAATATACTATCAATTATTTCTAAAGACAATAAGCACTGTTATCTAATGGGGGACTTTAATTTGGACTTGCTTAACTATGAACATCATTCAACTACACAAGAGTTTCTGGACGCTTTGTTCTCTCATATGATCATTCCACTCATTTCAAGACCAACTCGTGTGACTGCTCACTCCGCAACACTTATTGACAATATTTTCACAAATTGTTTCTCCCATAATATTCTTAGTGGAAATATCCTTAATGACCTTTCTGACCATTTTCCAATCTTCGCTTTTTTCAATAATGAATACATTCCTCAGAAAACTGAGTTGAAATCAGTTACGCGTGATTTCAGCGAAGGAAACCTTTCAAATTTTCGATCTTGTCAAATTTTCGATCTTGTCTTGCCCAGGTTGACTGGACAGATGTTGTGAACAGTCAGGATGCTAGCACTGTTTTTGATGCTTTTGTAACTGAGTATAATAGTCATTTCGAAAATTGCTTCCCCATAAAAGTAATCAAAATAAACATGTCCAAAAAACCAAGAACTCCTTGGATTAGTAAAGGGTTACTGGCTTCGGTTAGGAAAAAGAATAGATTGTACAAAAAATTTGTGAAACATCCAACTCCTACGTTAGAGACACAATACAAAGCATATAAAAACAAATTGATTCATTTAACTAGAATTGCAAAGCGAACATACTACGATGAGAAATTCGAACAATCAAAAAATGACCTGAAAGCTACTTGGAAACTAATTAATGAAATTATTAATAAAAAGAACAACAAGCGGCCTTTGCCGTCTTCTTTCAACTCAAATGGGAGAACCATCACTGATCCAGTTAAAATTGCCAATGAATTTTGTCATTACTTTACAAATATTGGTCCAAATTTAGCAAGTAAGATACAAACAACTAACTCCGCTTTTCAAAACTT